TCACTTTCAGGATAAAATTAATCATCTTAATCATGTCTCATTGTTTAGTATTGGCAGTTCATCTAAAGTATGTCTAGGACACCTGCTAATCAGATGTGTTTTGGTTAACTTTCAGATTAGTTTTAATAGAGTTCAGCCATCTGCCTGTTTACTCAATCTTTCTCTTCTTGGCTTTATGACAGAGATGTTCACCTTGATAAAGGAGCTTATAAATGGCTCCTTTAAAAAAATGATCTCATTTTCATTAAAGGCAATCATAATGTGGACAGTTTGGAACATAACATACTTGGACAGAGAAGTTCTGAATATGTATAAGCTTCTGCTCAGTGTTCCTTTCCTGGGGGACAAAATGTTCAAACAAGTGGCGGCTAATTAGAACCAGATATCTTGGATGAAGATAAAATCAGGTGCAACTCACCTAACCGCTGTGGGAAGAAATATCCATCTGGTTCAGTTCCAAGCTGGGAGAAAAACACTGGAGACAAAATGGAAGCTGGAGGCTGATTGGAAAGAGGGTCCATTTACTGATGAACAGAGCCACTTGTGGTTCTGGTGCAGTTGACCACATGGAGAGGATTTCTTTTATACCATCTTTGGGCTTTGCACTTGAACTTCCTGTTCCTGTGCAAGAACGTGTATTCTATTGGCTGTTGTAGGGCTTATGTAGGGGTCATAGCTGGCTCTATAGGTTGTCTGAGCTCCCAGGTTTGGTTGAAGTTTGGACTGCTGAGATGATGCAATGAAGAGGTTTGTTCTCTAAAAGGGTGTTGGGCAGGGGTGTCAAACTCATGTTACAGCAGCAGCATGTGACATATCGGGACTTTTTTCCCCTTCGCTAAACCATGACGCATCCAGCCAATGGGCCAGGAGTTTGACAGCCCTGATGTTGGGCAATTCCTATTATGGCTTAGTGCTTTTTCCTGTGTTGGATCTTGGGTGAGGGTATTTGCTTAGGAATAGAGATATCTCTCTCTTTATCTCTTAAGTGCTAACATCTGCTGTGGGCTATTAAGAAAAAATGGCGGCTGCTTTCTCCCTCTTAAAAAAACACGTTTCTCCATTTCTCATCCAGGAAAATATAATATTTTTAATATTTCTCAAAATATTTCATTCTTCTAGGAGATGGGTGGGTGCTAACTTTCTACATCAGTTTAAAAACAGATATTCTGGTCCCAATTGTGGTTGTAAGTCAAGGAGTAGACTCCATTGCTCCCAGTTCATTTCCAGTCCCCATTAAAAGGGCTGACATGACTTCCGGTTTGAAGGGCTTCGGCAACAGACAGAAATCCGCGATGGTGCGTGGTTTCTGTCCGGGCTCGCCGCTGGAGCGCCCTTAGCTGGCTGGTTTCGGGGCTAAGCCACCCCGTAGAGGTGGTGAAGAGTGGGGAGACCACCAGCAGGGTTGAGGAGAGCTTCATCTCTCCTCCTCAGCTGGCCATTACTCCCTTTCCTGAAGGCAGTTGCAGCGGTGGTCAGAAATGGCCACCACAAAGGAGAACTCGACTGGAAAAGAATGTGCAGGAGGAAGATAAGAAGTGAAAGTTTTGGCTGACTGGGTTAAATTGTAAAAGCAACAACAAAGGTACCCTGGAATTTAAACTTACAAAAAATAACATCACTCCCAAAGAAGAGTCAGAAGCAGTGAAGGAAAGTGAAAAGGGTAAGGTTTGGCTTTTTTTTTCTTCTCTCTCCTTCCCTATACTGACAACTAAGAGACTTAAATAAGAAATCAGAAAAATCCGCTTTGACATCAATAGGCAATTAAGCTGAAAATAAAACAAAATGCCAAAGGCATAATAAAGATTTCTGGACATTAAAAAATTTCTTTTTCATAAGCAGGAAGGGACAGAAAAAGAATAAGGGCAGGATCTGGAAGAGGGAGGAGACTGCCTGGAATTAAAAAGAATCTACAGTAAAACTTCAACCAAACTTCTAAAAGATACATTTTAACTGAAACTTTGCAACTAAATAGTAACCCCAGGAAGAGAAAGTGAAAAAAAAGAGCAAAAAAGAAACAGCTTGTGTGTATTTGGATTATTTGGTGATCTTTGGATTCTTGGTTATTATATTTGAATGATTAAAATCAATTGGGTGGTTGTTTAAAAATTCATACAATGGCACCACCTCTGGATGAATTGAAAATGGAACTTAAAAAGTACAAAGAAGATGCACAAGAAGGGAAGGGTTCTTTCGGCTTCATTTTTCAATTCTTAGAAATGGAGATTTGGAGCTATGAGAAACAACAAGAAACGTCTGCAAAACAAGAAGACTGGGACAAAGAAGAAGCCATCTTTAATGAACAAGCAATTTTATGTGGGGAAGAAAAAGGAAAGGTGTGGAAGAGAATGGAGAATTTAAGACTTAAAAAAACAACCAAAGAAAAGAAAAATAATTCAAAAAATAAGTATAATACTGGAAAGCAACAGAAAAGGGAAAAACAGAAGAGAGAAATAGAGGTAGAGAGACAAGGGGGTAAAAAGGAGAGAGAGAAGAAGAGAGGGAAGAAGGAAAGGAAAAGAAGTTACAAAGGACCAGGGCAAGATATAGAGGAACAGGACCTATTTAGAGATAATGGGTGAAAATCTAACTGAAAAAGGGATTCTGTAAAGGTACATAAGATTTTATTGTTATATTAGTAATAGAAATAACTTTAGAAAATTCGAAACAACGTATGATTAAAATGAGGGATAAAATAGTGTAATTTAGTGAAATGTTTGTGAATAAAATAAGTGAAATAAAATAAATGAGAAAATTGAATTAGGAGGGAACCGGAACATTTTAATTAGTTAATGTTTTATAAAATATAAGTGAAGAGGGGGGGAATTAACTATGGAAAGCTTATAACTGTTCCCATAGAAGTATGATATTTAATTGAAAAGTAATGTTAAAGATGTTAAGACTTTAATGAATATTAATATTAATGATAGAATTGAGTTGGAATGGAATGTTGTTTTAATTATATACATTTATAATTTTTTCTTTTTTTAAGAATACAGTATGTATTTTAAGAATGTACCAAGCAGAATCCGAGTGGAAGTTATGTATTATATTGAGTGTTATAACTTTAGGGGAAAGATATAAAGGTGTCATACTCCAATCAGTAACTACAGGAGAAATTCTGTTTAATGAGAAAAGATAATAGACAATTGAAACAGGACAGACAAAAAATATAAACATAATGATTTGAATTGAGATGAAATAAAAAAAATAAAATTGAGGAAATTAAAAGAGTGGAGAAGCCATGTAGAAAATGTAAAACAGTAATAAGATATGGAATAGAATATAAAAATGAGCATGAACCTGAATTTGTGTCTGTACAAGAAATGTAACCCGGGATTATGCTTTCAAAAAAGATGTTTTATTTGTATTTTTTTTCTCTTTGGGAAAACTCAAATAAAATTTACAAAAAAGGGCTGACACTGATATAAAAACATCCTTGGAAATCATACGTAATATCTGAAGAAATGTTTCTTCTTCTACCATGAAATCTTGATTTATTTGTTTGGCTTGTTTGTTAATTAGATTGATGGATTGTCCATCTTGTCCATTTAATGGACTAATTGGGGAAGGAAGAAGCCAATATTCTTGATTGTCTTGTTAAAAGCTGCATGCACATTGCTCACGGGGGATACGATTTGTGCAAATGACATAATCGCCAAGTGCACATTAGCCCAAAGAGCATCGTTACACAAATGACACAAAACGCACCGCGTTTTCCTCCTCCTCTTCTTAAATTCACCGCACCGAGTTCCATTTAAAAAAAAAAAAATCTAAAATTTCCTCCTTGCGTTTCCTTACTCATAGCTTGCGATCTTTGCTGGAGGCTTACACCATTCTTTTAAGATCTATATGAGTCATATCAGCGGGCCTGGGGCTCTGTCAACCTTAGGAGCGAGCCGAAAGGAAACAACCGCCAAGGAACAAAATCTCTGCAACTGAACTTTCCACACGTTTGGCTCCGCGTTTTGACTGAATCCTGCCTGCGACGCGTTAGCCCGACCGCCGATTGCAGGTTTATTCAATCAGTAAGGAGTTAAGAAAACCACGGAGGAACGGGACTCCAAAGAAAAATCCTTTCCGATGCGCTTAAAAGGTCTTGGGTTTTGCTGAGCATTAAAACAGTCTGTGGAGATTCTCAGTCCTCCCGGTTGTCCCAAAGGGCCTCCCCCCCCCCCGCCCCAGGAGGCATCTGGACTTTCTTGGTTTATTTGTTTTTCTTTTGAAGACGTTTCGCTTCTCATCCCAGAAGCTTCTTCAACTCTGACAGGATGGCAGACAGCAGGTCATCTGCATCCTTTTAGACTCCAAAAAGTAGAGTCTAGATTAAATTTTAGACTCTGCAATTTATATTAGAGGGTTGTTGAAGCACTTGGAGGTTTATCTGTGTCCTCGGGGGTCACCCGGGTGCTGCTAAGCGTGTGTGGTGTTTTTTTTTTTTGGGGGGGGGGGGGGGGGTTGCAAGTATTTCTTAAACGGCGCTGCAAACCTGAGCGCCAAAGAGGACGTTGACGCCGGCTTTGATTTGGCGCCTGCCGTTCGCAGCGTAGGAGTTGCGCAGCAAATGTTCCTTGCCTGCCTTTCATTCCCGTTTCGCCCAACGGCCACGCTCAGCTCGTCGGAGGCCGCCTTTCTATAGGTCTCTCTTTTCTCCTCGAAGCGCTGCCTAACTGCTAACATTGGATGAGGGGGGGAGCGGATTGTGGGGGATGGGGGGGCGGGAGATCTCCCAGAAAGCAGCACACCAACCTTCCTTCTCCATACCGAAAGTTGCACGCAAAGCGCCCTTTTGTCACCAAAGTTCCCAGCAGGAGCCAGCAAAAAGCCTACCACAAAAGCGTCTGCAAGCCTCCCAAAACAACCCCCCCTCCCCACTCTTTCCTTCCCCAAAGTGTGAGCTTTGCACAGCGACTCATGCCACGTTACAGGATCCGAGGGCGGGGAGGGGGGAGTAAAAAGGTTTCGTGGGAGCGGGGAGGGGAGGCGGGGAGGCGGCGGCTGTCCAGAACCACCGCGGGCGCCTTTCACGTGACTCGCCTCCTGTGAAAAGATCCGTGCGGGAGCCGCCAGGGCTTCTCCGCCGATTGCCCCAAAAGTCATGCCCGTTTAGAAACCTGCCGAAATAAGGGAAAGAGGGCAACAGAGAGAGAGAGAGAAAAGAAAGAAAAGAGGAGGCTTGGCGCGGCCGGAGTCGAGTTAGACAACCCACCAAGAGAGCCACCTGCCGGCGCGATGACCCAGAGGAGGGGGGACCAGGTGAGAATCCCACCTGGGGCGACTGGCTTGTACAGAGCGGTGCTAGTCAAATCAGGTAAGGACGCAGCCTGGGGGTGGGGGTTGACTGAACAGCAGGCGAAACCAATGCTGGGTTTGCAAGGTGGAGTTTGCCCACCTACTCCAACGTGGTGCGCCCCTTTGCTTTGCAGATGTGTGTCCGTGTGCGTATGGGAGTGTGTGCTCTTTCCCTTGCATTTCCAGTGAACCCTTGAGCTTTGCCTGCTGAGTTTCCCAATACTCCCTCCTTCCTTTCCGTCCTTCTACCCCTTCTTTCCTTCCTTCCTTCCTTCCTAGACTGTGTTGTTTCTCTGTCATATAATATATATATGGGGGACATGCACAATTTTCTATTTATTTTGTCATGTTTGTGTAGGTAGTGTATATTGGAGGTGATGATCTTTTGAGAGATGTATGCTGCAAAATTTCATTTTAATGTATGCCGATTAGTGTACATTCAAGGTGACAATAAGGTCTATTCTATTCTATTCTATTCTATTCTATTCTATTCTATTCTCCCTCCCTCCCTTCCTTCCTTCCGGAGATGGCCAAATCTGAAAGCTGTGAAATGAGTTGTGCTGAGCTTTGCAAGACATTTTTCGGTGGAAAAGCAGCCAAGACGTTAACCCACATTTTGACATTTGTCTCACATTGCAAACTGTGTAACTGGGGAAGGAGGAGGAGGAGGAGGCCTGTTTTATGATAAGTTTGTGGGTCATGATAACCTAATAATGAAATAAAGAGGCAGAGGATTAAAGATGGATGATGATAACATGATTTCACAGCACTTATCAATGTTTAAACTTATTAGGATTTTATTTAGAAAATATAATAAGTATGTACCCCATTATTGGATTCCCACTAAGAATTTTACAGCTGGGGAGGATCAGTATTGTTATTCCTTTCCCCTCCCCCAATAATTGTTAGAAAGGTAATTTGTTACTGGAGTAATGAACTGTACCATGCCTAACCCTTCAGCATGGCATTTTAATTGATAGTTTTAATTGATATAGTTTACTAGGAAGAGGAATAAATGATACTTACTTGGTTGCAACCTTTTGAAATTCAGTTTCATTTGGGAGCAGGGCATGCTTGCCACTAAGTAAATAGAAAATTGAGTTGAGCCTCTGTATTAATTTCCAGGTAGGTTATTATGTGCATGATCAGGCATGAGTCTTTGTAGCAAAAAGAGTCATTGGGGAGCTGCATAAGCCATAGACTTTCATGTAAATTGACTCCAGAAATCTGAGGAAAAAGTTTGATAACCCAAGGTGAAACCAGCTTCCAGATGCCTTGCTGTATTATAAATACAAAGCCAAATTGTGTTATTTGATGATATATTTGGAAATATCGTCGCAAAACAAAAGGGTCTTTTGGAGATTTCATACTTGGAAAGGTGCATGAGGTTGCGTGACAAACAAAAAAATACCTAAAGTTATGCTATGCTTGACTGGCAGGCAGAGTCCTGGTGTTGAAATTGTCACATGAGCCAAAGGTTTGAAGCAAAAATACCACAGATAAAGGAATCGCACCCTATCCCAGGCTCTTAAAGAGACAACTCTATGGAACGGGGTTTGCTAAAGTTTGGCTAGACAATCAATTGTTATGATAGTTGTTGCTGAGAAAGAATTGTGCCTAGTTCTGGAGTCAACCTAATCCTGATCTAATGAGAACTCCAACACCTGTGAATTGCAGTCCCAACCCATCTTTAACACATAACAGATTAACAGAATTGGAAGGGACCTTGTGGGGAGGATGGGATGCTACCGAGTCTGCCCAGCTCTATAGAATTGGTAGCTCTGAAGAACAAAAGACACAGAACTGGTTCTGTGTTTGCTGTTGTTTGGCCCACCCACCCACCTGGGCTCTTACCTGACCTTTATTTCCTGCTTTTTCATCCTTAGCTGCTTTGCGCAGCACAGCTGATTTTGAAAAAGCAGTAAAAAAGTGGCTTTTCAAATGCTGCACACCCATGTGCAGCACACCCATGTGCAGTGCTTATCAGCTGTCCGGGTGGCACAGCTTAAGGTGTATTACACACGCAATGCACGTCTGGCGCAAAATGTAATCACCGAATCGGTAGTAACACAGGTTGAATCCCACCCCTGCTTGTAGGTCTTCTAGTTCAACTCCCCCTCCCCAGCAGAAGACCCTACACCATTTCTGGACAAATGGCAGTCCAATCTCTTCCCACAATCTTGAAGGTGCCAAGAGTTGCTGCAATATTGACACTATTAGGAGTAATGCAGATGTTTGCAGGAAGCTGTCTTGCCTGAAAAGCTTCTGGGAAATTCACAAGACGAGAGGATTCTGTACTGAATTCAAGTCTTCATGGTTCGTTTCACAAAAATAAGCTACCTGACAGAACAAATCTCCTAGGAATCCAGCTTATACCATTGTTGTTAGCAAGTCTTTTAACCAGTCTGTTTTCCAAAAAAACCACAAAAAATAGATATGTCAAACTCCAGCAGGCAGAGCATGTTTATCCCACCTATTCTTTATTGTTCTCCTGTTGGTGCAGTAGTTTAAAAAGAACAAACGGGGTTGTTTCTCTTGGCTACTAGCTCCATTTTTTAAGCAATATTAAACATACTGCAATTTCATGGTTACATAACCACTCAAGAAGCTTACCACACTTAAGCCAAGGTACAGTATATAAAACATAATACCATCAATACAATTGAAATTTAACATCAAGTGTTGGTTGAAAGCTTGGGAGAGTGGAAGCTGCACAGAAGTAAATTGTTTCCTGTGTGGTCTATAAGCAAGCTTCTGGTTACAGGAACATCTTTAAAAATGGTCTCCTTTGCTGATCTAAGTTACCAAACAGGTTTGTAATGAAAAAGGTGGTCCCTTGGATAGATTACAGATTAGCAGAATGGGAAGGGACCTTGTAGGTCATCTAGTCCAACCCCCCACCCAAGCAGGAGACCCTACACCATTTCTGACAGATGGCAGTCCAGTCTCTTCTTGAAAGCTTCCAGTGATGAAGCTCCCACAACTTCTGAAGGCAACTTCTGTTGCATTGGTTAATTGCTGTTACTATCAGAAAATTTCTGCTTGTTTCCAGGTTGACTCTCTCCTTGATCAGTTTCCATCCATTATTCCTTGTCTGGGATAGTCAAATCCTAAACCATTAGGGCTTGAAGGATCAATACCAGGTCCTTAAATTGTGTCCAAGAGGTAATGGGCAGGTAGGATCAATTATTCCATTCAGTCATGAAGTCAAATGTACAGTTTTAACTGTTTGACAAGAGTAGTCATATTACCCTACATAACTCATGACGGTGGTTTGAGTGGATAGAATTGGCTCCTTTTCAGTGATGTGTGACAATTGTCAGGTTAGTAACTTGCAAGTATCCAAATTAAGTTGCGCTATAGCCAGTAGATGGGGCGTTAGCTATGAGCAAAGGTTGAGGATTGATGATGGTCAAAGCAGTACAGTAGCCCTAAATGCACCACCACAATTGAGCTCAATATTTCTATGGTTAAGCAAGAATAATTAAATGAGTTTTGTCCCATATTAAGATCTTACTTGCCACGGTTGTTAAGTGAATCATTGCAGTTGTTAAGTTAGTAGCATGGTTGCTAAGTGAATCTGGCTTCCTTATTGAATCTGCTTGTCAGAACGTTCCAGGTGATCACGTGACCCCGGGACTGCAACCTTCATAAACACATGCCAGTTACCAAACATCTGAACGTTGATCACATGACTGTGGGGATGCTGCCAATGGTCATGTGAAGGATGTCACTAAGTCACTTGTTTCAATGCTGTTGTAACTTTGAATGGTCACTAAATGAATTGTTGTAAGTTGAGGACTACCTGCGCAGGAAACAAAATATGGAAAGAACTTGGCGATCACCATTCCTAAGCCAAGTTCTGGACACAGAAGTCTTCTCTGAGAAAGAACAAGAGATTTTTGCACCAACTATTCAAAGCCCTGAAGAATTTTCAGAGGAGCAATAGATCTTCAAGGAGATTGGGAGATCTTATTGTTCTCTCCCTTGGTAATCTCTTTGACATCATTAGAGGTGGTCCTTGACTTATGCATTCAACATTTCTTTCACAGCTTCTTGTCAGCAAAAATATGAGTGCTGCCTCTCACTTCTCCTTTTACTGTTTTACTGCCATCAACAACTGCGTGTTCCTGCAGTAGGCCTTCCTTGGAAACATGCTCAATTAATTGGATGGATTGTGCTGTGATCCCACAGTAGCTTGCATGGTCGTAATATTTTGAATAAAATTGTCCACAAGAGTTTTGCAACGTTTTATGTAAGTGAGCCTAGAAGTCAAAACCATATCCAACAAGGATGCAACTGGAGGTACAAGATCTCCACAAGATTTAAATGCCTGCAGTTGTATTGCAAAGGCACCATAAATCTGAACTAGGACTATTCTGATTGTGAGGAAGTTTAGATTCTTGTCTGTGGTTGAACATTTGCTAGTTTTCCATCTGAGACAGTGAGACCCAACTATTAAAACTTCCGATCCTGGAACAGCATAGTGTCAGATCTTCCCTGTTATGAAACCCTTAAGATATGTTGGAGCTGCCATTCACCAAATTCAGCACTGGAGAAATTCAGTTTAAGTGGGCAATTTTTAAGGGGTTTTGGAACCTGCAACTCAGCTGTCTGATTTTTCCAACAATCACAGAAGGCAATCCAGTTATATAGCACTGGCAGAACAAGGGAGACAAGTTTTCTTTCATTCCTTTGTGTGGCAATTTAGGGGGTGAGTGTTTAGTGTGGCTTATGGGAAGAAAAAAAATTTTTAATGGGAAACTAACCTCATTTTCACCCTTAGCCCACCCTTTTTAAAAAGTATGAAAAAAAAATCCATATTCCTGTAACAACATTGCACCTATCTCTGCATTTGACTCATCGGTGACTATGTGGAAATAAATAACCAACACATTTGTTTCAGAGTCTCAAATACTTGTTAGCACTCTTAACACTTATAATTTGTTGAGCATTCATAGAAGCTTATCCGAGCATAGCTTTTTAATTAAATCAGTCAAAGCAGACTCTGAAGCATTC